TGTTAAAAAAATGAAAAAAACAGTCTACAGAATGGGAGAAAATACTCACAAATAATATGACAGACAAGGTGTTAATATCCAAAATACACAAACAGCTCATACAAGTCAGTATCAAAAAAAACCTAAACAATCCAACCAAAAAATGAGCAGAACCCTGAATAGACATTTTTCCAAAGACAACATACAGATGGCTGATTGGCACATGAAAAGATGCTCAACGTCACTAATTATGAGAGAAATGCAACCAAAACAACAAGATATCACCTCACACCTGTCAGAATGGCTATCATCAAAAAGCCTACAAATAACAAATGTTGGTAAGGATGTGGAGAAAAGGGAACCCTTGTACACTGTTGGTGGAAATATAAATTGGTACAGCCAATATAGAAAACAGTATGGAGGTCCCTAAAAAATTATGAATAGAACTACCATATGATCCAGCAATTCCACTTCTTAGTATATATTTAGAAAAAATTAAAATACTAATTTGAAAAGATATATGCATGCCAGTGTTCATAGCAGCACTATGTACAATAGCCAAGACATGGAAGCAACTCAGGTGTTCGTTCATGAACAGATGAATGAATAAAGAAGATTATATATATATACTCAGCCATTGAAAAAGAATGAAATTCTGCCATTTACAGCAACGTGGATGGACTTAGAAAATATTATGGTCAGTGAAATAAGTCAGACAGGGAAAGATAAATACTGTATGGTATCATGTATGTGTGGAATGTAAAAAATAATCCAATATAGCAGAGCAGAAATAGACTCACAGAAATAGATAACAAACTAGTGGTTATCAAAGGGGAGAGGAAAGGGGGGAGGGGCAAGATAAGGGTAGAGGATTAAGAGATACAAACTATTATGTATAAAATAGCTAAGCAACAAAGATATATTGTATAGCAGTGAGAATTATACTATTATCTTGTAATAACTTTTAATGTGTAAAAATACTGACTCTGTGTGGTGTATACCTGAAACTAATACAATATTGTTAATCAACAATAAAAAAGTATGCATTGTTCATGATTTTCAATGTACAGAATTGAAAGCAGAAAGCTTTAATGGGAGACTTGATTGTTGTGGGACATAATGTAAAAGTTAATTGGAACTTATTTTACAGATTAGATAGATATAGAGATATGGCTATATAAACAGCAATCCTTGGAGCATTCTCTCCATTAGAAGGGCAAGCTCCCTTTGCTTTCAAGACCCCATGAAAGTACATTTTGATGATGATGCCACCTGACTCCCTCAGGTGCTTTCACAAATTCAATCTAGGTCTTGAGATGCAGAAGTGTTGCCTTTATATCCATTTGGTCACTCCAAACTGTTCTGGAAGCCATATAGCCATGGTCCATTCATGGATTGTTTAGGTGTAAGTTATAAATTAATTCTATTAGGGTATGGATGCATCTTATCTAGGGAATATTTACTTAGTAACTTCAGAGCTAATTCAAGTCTGCACCATCCTAGGTGACATGGCCAGATCCCAGAGACACCTGGGATTAGCTTTTGAGTCAATATAGCCCACTACAGTTGCTTAGAAATGTTCTGGAATCTGAGGTCAAGGCTCTTGAGTAACTAAAAGGATACAGTTGTAAGATTCAAGACTAAATAGACTATTTTTCCTTACTCTCCTTGAAATGCTGAGCTCACTCTTTATCTCAATTTGCTTCATATTTGAAGCAAGTATTTATTTGTTTTCTTTTGTATATCTGTTGTTGATTGCTGCCTAATAAAGCACTCCAAAACTCAGTAGCTTAAAGCAGCCTTCTTATTTGCTCATTATTTTGCATATCAGGAATTTGCACTGGTTGGTTCTTCTGCTAGTTTTGCCTGAGGACATATATGTGGCTAGAGTCAGCTGGCAGATCAGCTGGGAGCTAGTTATCCTGTAACTAAGGTTGGCAGATACAGGAAATAA